CGCTGGAAATGTGAGATTCATTTCGCCGGAAAAGCGAGGTTCATTTCGTCGGAAATACGCTATAAATTCATTTCTCTAGCGCACAAAATAAACCGATGCAAGAATGTGGGGTTGAAAAAGAAGGGTAAAAAGGAGTTAGGATTGAATAAGGGTATAAATGGAAATTGGTAAGTGGTAGGGAGCGAATTTCAATAATATTCGTAAAGGGAGGAGTGCAGTCTAAGGCAATTATGTGTAGGGACTGAATTTAAATGATAAATATAGCATAGGTATTTAAATCCAATTAGCCGTTGAATTTAATTCTAATTTTAATTTTTTCATTAAATAGTGTAGCATAAATATGATGTACCCCTAAAATATATTTAAATACTTTCAACATTTTTTTATATACATATAATACATTCCACTACACCTAAATTGTTTTACAGATATACTTCTATTTACTTTTTGTGTACTTTTGTTTGTGTAAAAAAGATAAATAATAATTATAGTTACGTTTAATTATGGGATGAAGCAAAAAACTATTACACACTTCTCATACCCCCAAAGAAAATCCTATATCCGTCATTCTCATTCATGCACTACAAAAAAATAGTATATGTGTACGGAATTATGTCCCTAAAGTTCACGTAGCTAACATAATTTCATCCCTAATTCCGTCTCTAATGTCATTTGTAACATCCTGGTTGGCTCAAACCAAAATATTACCACCACATTGAACTAAGGAGTCGGTTTTACCGAGCCGGCCCGCCTAGTGTGATGCTAAGGCTTAGATATCATATAAATATATAATGCAACATGCTAAATAAATATCATTTCCACTTTATAAGCATTAAAATGAATTGCGTGTCAGTGTTTCTGCTTGCAATTAAAATGATTATACCAGTATAAATAAAATAGTAATAGATAAATAATTAATTAAGTGCTCTCAACCCCATATAAATGCCATCATGATGCATAGAGCGAGTCCTTCTCACCCATATTACCTACAAAAATGTAGATTTAACATCAGCAAATTTTTGTGTAAGTAGAACAAAATTACACAAGTAAATACAATTTAAATCATACACAATTTAAATCATGATGCAAATCTCCTTGTTTCTTCGTTATATTTATTCCGTTTAAAGATATGAGGAGCCAAGAAAGAAAAACTTCATCATACAATAGGGAATATTTTGATTCCAATATACATATGTGATATTTCTCATTGCATAAAACATTTCTTATTCTTTCAACATAAATGTTATTATTTTAATATTGACAGTAAGTAAAACCGCCAATCAACAACTGGCACTATCCAGAAATGCCTACGAATATCATCAATAGCATGAGAGAAAAAAATTCAATTAGTAAGAATTCCTTTCAAGAAATAATATCAAAACTCTTATACAATCAGATGGGTATCCGGTCCTAACATCAAAGGAATAACCAGCAAGGTATAAATAATAGAAACATATCAATCAATCATATAGATAGCCGACATGTACCGCCATTAACCACAGAACGATCCGGAGCTTGTGGTAGCGAAGATAGACCTATCTAGAGATCTATCCCGTGTATAGTAGTGGAATTTGTGCACCCCAAGAATCACCCAAAGGGAACCCGAAAACTCTACTCCTTCTCGCTGGCTCATTTGGGATCGCGTTTGGAGTTAATCAAAGATCCTGAACTACCAGTACACCCCACTAGGTGCAAATATAATGAATGGACCACACAACTTAATTTTTGTATTCAAAATATAATTTCGATGGCTTAATAATTGTATCATTGTGATTCAATATCAAATACGAACGCATTGTACCTCGTTGTTGGGAGTTTGATATTGATGTGATCCATTTGGTTTGTCATTACTTTTATTTTGTGGATCTCATATCTTATACATATAGCATGATTGATATGTGTGGACTATTTGGATTCTACTGTCATTTGTGATTTACGGTAGTGCTAGGCAAGGGCAACATCATACATACGTATATTGATGTATCGTTACACTATGCAATAACAATAGTTAGTCGGACAACCGATTGACTTGTATTACAGGGTCCTTCAGGGATTGGATTTGGTTATTTTTAGCCATATCTAATCATTATCGTGCAGGGTTTCGGTAGGCAAATCAAGCTAACGAGCTCAACTAATATGAGACTACCAGTACATTGTTGTGACTGACAACTAGCTACCTTTAGAAGTAAAATATATGTCTTATTCTTTTTTGAGTTGGATTAATGATTTCATTATCATGTAATATCAATTATAAATTTCTCAATACATTCACTTTTATGAAATTTAAATAAAACAAGATCAAGTTATGAGCTTGCAAACATAGTTTGTTAACATATAAGATGAGCTACCTGGTTATACAAAAGAGCTACTAGCTTGCTCCAATGATAAATTTTTAAACTCATCCGTTAACTTTCAAGTTTTTTTTTTTTTTGTAATAAAATATTTTATCATAATCATAAAAGCCTTATTCCTAATATCATTTTGACCGATAGATTTTAAAATAAAAATATGTAAAATTATGAATAAGAGGACGTATCTAAGATACTGCATAAATAACTGAATTTGGATTAATGTGAAAAATTCTTCAAATATAAACTTGGAGTTATATATACTATAATAACTTAAAAATTATCAGGATTTGATAGTTAAATATTCAATTAACAATTTTCAATTTTTTTTGTCAAATTTCTAATTTATAAAACAAATACTCTAAATCGCATTTATAACTGTAATTATATTCTATTACGTCTTGTAATGAATTAACAAAATTAAAATTGAAATCGAACGGCCTCCTTCTTCTTCTTTCTTTTCTACCCCCACGGTATTCTTTTCTTGTCTATTCTTTCATTTTATTTCTTTATGTAGAATCGATTATATATATTTATATATCTCTAAGAACTCTAATATATAAGAATGTGTATGGATGGTTACATGAATTACTCTATTTACCCTTACTTTTTATAGGTGCAAGTAGGTGTTGTTATTTTGTCCAGCTGTGCGAAGTGGTAATATTGTGGTGAAGTATGTCTAAATTTTTCAATTACTTCAACGTTCTCAGTTTTACTGACGATATTGGGTGTTATAGAGAGTTGTGTTTTTCCAATCCAATTTGCTATTTCATAGCGATTTACTTTTAGAAAATATATTGGAAATCATTTTGTAAATCATAAGATTTTCTTTAATACAATATGTTAGTTAGAACATTCTAATGCTATGATTTAGAAAGAAATGCATCTTAAATAAGTGAAGGGGTTTTAGAGTTTGTGGGACACGCAAAACAAAAAAAAAATAATCGGTGTAACTCTGAACTAACCCATTGCTTGTAGAGAAGTGCAAAATGGGGCTGGTCTGTTTTGTATCACCTACTGAGATTGGATTTCATTCGAGTTTATCTTTCATCGGTGATTGTTGTAAGCATCCTTACGCACAACTCTGGGTTTTTTGGGCACGCAAAATAATAAAAATTTAACATTGTGATGTTTGTCAGAATTGGGTGTAATTGTAACAAGAGAATGTAATTCAAGAATCACTTATTGTCTGCAACTGTCTGACATGGATGACCGATTGTTTGAAAAAAAATGGTTGAATCGGCAGTTCAACTAGTTCTTTTATTTTTCTTTTAAATCAGGCATTCACCACGACACCGCGGCACAGAAGAACTAGAGTAGGTGAAGAAGAAGAAAAGAGAGGAGGAAAGAAAAAAAAAAAAAGCAAGATGGCCCAAGGGAAAGAACGAAAAAAAATCTGGGAAGAAGAAGAAAGAGGAGAACCTAGTGTGTCTGTGGCCTGCGGCGTGTAATTGTGTAAATGAATTGATTAGGAAAATTGTGTATTTTATAATAGTAATAATATATTTATAATCATTTTTTAAAAAAAATAAAAATAACTATTTTATAAGAATTTTGATATGGTTGAAGGAAAGAATGTTGCATGGATAACCGACTGTCTGGAGGCATCCGTGAATGAGAAGAAAATAATGCTCCATGGATCACCGATTGGCTGCAGCCATCCATGAAAGAGAATGAAAGAAGCATGGATCATCGATTGTCTGCAATCCTCTGTGAAAAAGAAGGAAGGAATGCTTTATGGATCACCAATTTGCGCCATCCGTGAAGGATGTAATTCGAAAATCACTTATTGTCTACAACCATCCGACGCGGATGACTAATTGTATTATTTTAAATCAGGCCCGCGGCACAAGAGCATTATATTAGAGTAGGTGAAGAAGAAAAAAGATAAGGAGGAAAGAAGAAGCAGGATGACGCATGTGAAATAAAGAAAAAAAGTGGGAAGAAGAAGAAGAAAGATGAGAACCTGGTGCGTCCACTACCAAAAAAATGGCCATTTGTAGCGGTTCAATAACCGCTACAAATGGCCATTTTTTGGTAAAAAGCTATTTGTAACAATTTTATACCGGATTTTGACCAGTGCATATACTCGAGTTACAAAAAGTCTATGTACCAACTTTTTCCGCAACAAAAAAGGGGCGGTCAACGCATTTATTGTAACAGTGTTTGTAACACTATCACTGTACTATCGATTTATTTGTAGCGGACATTTACTGTTATAAAAGAATCGTTACAATAAGTGTCCATCCACTTGTAACGGCTTTTGTTACGGTAATAATTTCATCACAATAGTTGGTTTTCAGTAACTTATTTAATATTTTTTGTACCAGTATTTGTAACGGCTAATTTTTTGTAACGAAAAAAGTCCCCTTATTTTGTCAATAATAACCTAAAAAAATAGTTTCGGAACCGAAAAACCTGTACGCTGTGAGAAAATACGGCCAAATGACATTACAAAATATGGAAATATTACGGAAATTCAGTATCACCATGAATTGTAGAAAGTACGCACTGTGTAGAAACATAAATATTTCGCAATATAGGCTAACATATATGGCAAAGCGTAGCAAGAAACACACAAAATGTAGCAGAGACAACAAGTTCAACCAACATAAAGGACTTAGTTAGCATCAATCTACAAACAAAAGTCAATCAGCATAGAACTACGTGCCATGCTGCAACGCCCCATGCAGCGTCAAAGTGGCCGTACACCGTAGTTATAGGCGACGAACAAGCTGCCAACATTGTGAAAAATTATATAAGAATTAATTTGTGAGATGGTTAAGTTGTAATCAAATAGAAAATCTTGTAAATGTGGTTGCGTACATCTTTGAATGTCCAGTCGATTGGCTCACTGCGGACAACCTCACCGAGTGTTTGTGCTCCATATGTTATCCGTAGAATAAGCGCAGCCTCCGGAATAGTAGCAGTTGTAACAAAAACCCTTACTATGTCAATAGTGTCACCTACGGACATATGAAGAAAATATGTGCAAATCATCGGTATGAAAATAAAACTCATGATTTATTTAATCAATATAAAAGATTAAAGATATTAACTAAAACATTATAGCATACGTAAGAGAAAAGGTCGGAGATGATCGCCTAATTTAGCCATCTATACAACAACGTAATCAAAATTGTAAAACATAGATTAGTATAAGTATAATTATAGCATGGATCCTATCTTGATGACATCCGGACCAACATCTGTACACCCCCACAAGTATAAAACAACCAGCAACGTGATCAATTTATTTGATACATGTGAAAGCTGTTTGTTTAAACAACCAACATAACCATGTACCAATTTAAAAACAACAATTAATTGAGTGTTACTGTATCCAAATACCTAACAAATAAATTAGATCAAAAATCAAAGTGGTTTGGGGAAAAAAAATCAATTTACCCACCATCCTACAAATCTATATTTAATTGTAGATTTATATGCTACCCAACAAGGTCATACAGAGCAAACAACCACCCGATTACAGTTCCACATAAGTAGCATTGTCACCATATCATGTATTACTATTTTGACTTACTAATAACCATAGAATATGTTTTACTCAAAATGGCTGTAACCAAAACCGATTTCATATAGAAAATATAACTAGGTTGACAACAAACCTGGGGTAGGGTCGGATAGCAACACCCCTTCACTAACAATGCGTTTTTCCAAACCACGAGATATGAGAAGAATACGAGACCCGATCTACATGAAAAACGTTATCATATGTCAATCATGTAATCTACATGCATGTTCTCGAAGGTGGTGGTGATGCGTTAGTAGTGGATGTTATTATCTAAAGGGTGATTCAGTTAACAAGAACTGCTGGCCAAATATTGTAGCACACACTCATGTTTCTGAAAGGATTAAACCCATCAGTGGCCAACCCTAGACGTACATTGCGTATGTCACTGGAAAATGACAGGTGACGACGATTGAAGTTCTTCCATGCTGCACTATCAGCAAGATGGCGTAACAGTCCATCGTTGACATGGCCTTCAGCATGCCAGCGCCTGGAAGCTATAGTTTTTGAAGATAAAAGCCATCTCTGTAAACGGGGCACTATGGGAAAGTACCTCATCTTTTTTGCTGCCTTTGTGGGGCTGCCGTCAATGAACCTACTAGCCCCACAAATCGCACAAGATTTGAGTTCTACATCATCTCTTGTGAACAACATACAGTTATTAATGCATGCATCTATACTCTTATAATTGAACCCCAACTTCTTTGTTATTTTGTTTGCCTCGTAGTAATTCTTCGGCAAGATCACAACATCTGGTAGGGCATCCCGCAATAGCTCTAATAGTAGGTCGACCGAGTGGTTTGACCACTGACATAGAACCTTCAAATGCAAGAGACGTGCAATAAATGTAAGCCTGCTAATCTTCTTACACCCTGGGATAAGATCACTTTGCATGTCTTCAAGCATTTGCCTCCACCCACTATTGTTGTCATCTCTATGGTCGTCACCCACATCGTTCGCAGTATTGCCTTCATTGATCCCCTCACCCAAGTGGTCAGGCATAGCATAATTGCGCATTAGCATATCTAGGTCATCTTCCCACAGTGCTGACCTTTGCCTGTCTTCCGTGCTAGTTGATGTTTCACCCATAACTTCACCATGGCTAGTCAACACCCTGTAAGACGGGTCAAACCCATACCTAATGCAATGAAGCAATATCTCCCTACGAGTATTAGTGGCACGGTTTAAACAAGTCCTACATGGGCAATATACAACCGAGTCTATGTCCCTCCCATGAAAAACATAGTTTAAGAATTGTATCACACCATCCAAATAAGTAGACGAAGTATGGTTCGATTCGTCAATCCAACTCTTGTCCATCTAAGAAAGCAAAAGTTTGAAGATTTTTCATAATCCCATTAACATATATCGTATGCACTTAATTAAACACATGTTGTAATGTGGATCAAGATATAAGTACCACTTTAATAGCGTGCCATGTAAATAATTTTCAGACCCTAAGATAACTTATTTCAGGTTGGTTCTTAATACCAACCTGCCTCGGCTTATATAACCACCGAAAATAGTAGTATTGAACTAAAAATATGAATATCGGCACTATAATTCGAATGTTCATATCATAAAAACTATACAAGTAATGTGATATACTATTGATGCATGAATAACTTACTACAATGCAGCAAGCTTGGATCGACGCTTAAACTTCTGCCCAAAAGTACGTTGTCCCTCAATGGCGGGTATGACACACCTATTCAATTTCAAGGACGCCTTGTGTCATCCATAATGCACATGAGTAGATCAAAGAATCAGCAGAACACTTTATAAAAGCAATAACAAGTAACAGAGAAAACACAAACAATATTATACATATCAGTGATGATGGTATATTTAGACTAGGCTTTTGGCAGTTGTTGTGCTTTATCAGCATGGAACATAAACTACAGCAGAATGCACCACTATCTTCTTACACACATATATATATAGACGTCTATGGCCACTATGATGTGTAATTGTGTAAAGGAATTGATTAGGGCAAAATTGTGTATTTTATAATAACAATATATTTATAATTAATTTTTTTTTATATATTATCAATTTTTCTTAAAAATAAAAATAAGATTAATATTAATAAAAATAAATAATTATTAATGGTATTGAAAAATAATAATATTATTTATTATTAATAATTTTAATTTTATAATTTTTTATTATATAATTGTTGTAGGTATTAAAAATTAAATGTCTAAATTAAATTAAATTAAATACCATATATATTAAAAGAAAATAAAATTATGATATAATAAATATGTGATATTTAATTATGCACATATGTTAATTTTTGTACAATAAATATCAACCATTAATGCAAAAATCTGCTTAAAATGGAATATATCATACAAATATTACATGAGAAATAGAGCCATAATAAATTTGGCAGCAAAATAAGTTAATCTCGTCAATGAAGGAAATATTTAAATTAATATATTTTGAAAAAGGAAATGATATAAAGATATTGACGAAAAAGGAAAGGACACCACTACAAGAAAAAATCATTTCTGTAACAAAATATTTTTGTTTCTAAATCTATTTTTTCCGTCACTAATGACATTAGAGATGAAATTAGAAATGGAATTACGTTAGCTACGTGAACTTTAGGGACGGAACTCCGTTACAAATATATATTATTTATAGAAAAGAGCATTTGATGAAAAAGGAAAGATTATAAAATCTTTTTGTTAACCAATCAGAACGTGCCACGTGGCACCATGCGGAAAGGAAGCCAAGGACACCCGTTCCCTATAAATAGGAGCCTTGACCAATTCATTACACACGGAAGTTCATTTGAAGACTAGCGCAAGGGTAAGTCTCTCTAGACTCTCTGCAATATTCTTCATTGTTCTTTGTGTCCTTCAAAGCGTTCTTCGTAAGAAAGTCACCGATTGGGACAAATGATCCAATATTGGTTGATGAATCAATGGAGTTAATGTTCTTCGCCGTATGCCTGAGCCGAAGAAAGGATCAAAGCTCCAAAAGTCATTGAGAAATTCGTCAAAGCCAGGGAAAGTCTCCAAAATGTCTCCCAAAGCTTCAAGATGTTCGTTGCGTTCTTCATCAAAAGCATCAACTCGGCCCTCTTCGATCCAAAAGTCAAAGGGACATGCCACTAAAAGCGGTATGGAGCATCAAATTTACCTCCTCAAAGATCAAATTCCTTCGGATCATCCAAAGGAGATATCAATCCAAAATCGACGATCGAAATTGCCAATACGGAGACCAAAGCCCTCCAAAAGCCGGGAAAACCAAATCGAAGATCAAATCTCTTCGGATCAAAGAAGCCATCCAAATCTAAGTTGGAAAAATGAATCGACCCGGGAAGAGAATCAAAGGATCCAAATAGAGAATAGGACCCGCATATATTTAAATTAAATATAATTTATACAATTTTATGTTTTTAAAAATATAACACAATTTTTTGTCTACAAATTTTTGGCATGCCCAGTGGGATGACTCTACCTTTCATCTCTATTTCCGTCGAATTCTCAGTGATCAATGGCATCATACAAGATCAAGACTTCTAACGCTGTGTCGAAAGCTGCTGCTCTAGCCGCCGCCACCAAAGGAGTCGCTGGAGTAATGACACGAAGCATGGCTAAAAGAGCACTGTCATTTTCCGTGGATGCACATCCGAAAATTACAGAGTAAAACCCACTCTATAAGGATAGAAGCTTCAAGAGTACCTCCGCACCGGTCACCCCTCAAGAAACTGTGACTCATTCGACTACATCAAGTTATGCCCCGGTGATAACCACGAACATTTCAAACATAAAGGACCAACTCGCTGCACTGGCCAAAGTCGTTGAAGGGATGTCTCAACATATGTAGCAACAAGACAATGTCATCGCAAAGCTGCTTGCAAAATTGGACAAGCCAGAACCAATCAACCAAAATGCTCCAGAGGCCCAAGATGAAGCAGAAACATCCACAGATCAACGTCATGGTAAAAAAAAAATAGCGGGACCAATGCCATTTCAAGCATCATCCGACTCCTTCATCCATCTATCCCAGCTTGACGAGTATATCAAAGGAGCTCTCATAAGCGATTTTGAAGGAATTTGAAGGCCAAAAAATATTTATGCCAAGCCTTACACTTCAAGGATCGACACCCTCAAGATGCCCTTGGGATATCAACCGCCGAAATTCCAACAATTTGATGGCAAGGGCAACCCAAAGCAACATGTGGCACACTTCATGGAAACATGCAACAATGCTAGGACATACGGCGATCTCCTGGTGAAACAGTTTGTACGGTCATTAAAAGGGAATGCCTTTGACTCATTCATCGACTTGGAGGCTGATTCCATCGACAGTTGGGAGTAGTTGGAGTACAAGTTCTTAAACCGGTTCTACGAGACAAAAAGAACCGTAAGTAAGACAGAGCTCATCAATAATCATCAATGGAAAGATGAACCAACAATAGACTACATCAATCGCGGGAGGATTCTGACCTTGAACTACAAAGACCGGTTGTCCGAGGCCTCCGGTATAGAGATATGCGTCCAAGGAATGAATTGGGGGTTGAAATACATCCTGCTAGGGATCCGACCCCGCAATTTTTGAGAACTTGCAACCCACGCTCATGACATGGAGTTAAGTATGGATTCAAGTGGGATGCATGGACCACCAGTTCAAGAATCTTCAAAAGCAAAAAGATACGAAAGATATGATGCCGCAAAGAAGGGGAACAACGCCCCTATTAAGTCTTCCAGCAAAGAAGCCTTGGCCATGAAAGCAACGACCAAATCACCAGTGAATATCCAAAATAAAGAAAAGGAAGTTGCAAAAAACAAACAGTCAACTCAGACAAACAGACCTCCAAGGCCAACCCTTAAAGAGTTGCAATCCAAAACTAATCATTTCCTGGATTCTGATGTCTCGGGAATCTTTGATGATTTACTCAGAGAAAACCTCATCAAATTTCCAAATTAAAAAAGACTGGAGAAAGCTAGAAAGGTTGATGACCCAAGATACTGCAAATACCATCGTCTCGTAGGACATCCCATTTATAATTGTTTCATCTTTAAAGACAAAGTCATGGAGTTGATTTGTGAAAGAAAGATCACCCTTGAAGACGATTTTGCTGCTATTAATGTCACTTCAATCATGTTTGGGACTCTCAAATTTGACATAAAAGATGAAGAATCATATTGTCTCACTACCGAGAAAGATGAAGAACCCAAAAAAGCGATCAAAGATGAATCGAGTGAAGAATGTGCCACAATAACCTTCACTGATGAAGATTTAATGTTAGGATCCAAATCCCATAACCGGCTACTAGTCATGAGTTATATCCATGAGCAAAGGATCTGCCGGATATTGTTAGATGGAGGAGTCGTAGTCAATGTCCTTCTTCTATACACATTGCAGCAATTGGGAATATCAGTAGATCAATTGCTCAAAAGTCGTATAACAATATATGGATACAATCAAGAGGGGCAAAGATCACTTAGCACTATAAGATTAAGACTGCTAATCGATGAAATGGAAATTAACTCTTTGTTCTATGTTATAGATGCAAAGACGTCCTTCAACGTTCTTTTGGGAAGACCATGGGTACATGATAATGGTGTAGTCCCATTAACGTGGCACTATGCTTCAAATACACTCAAACTAGAGTGACAAAGAAAGTTCTCGGCGACACAAAGCCATATACAGAAGCCGAGTCACACTTTGCAGATGCCAAATATTTCTCTGCAGAAGTAAAAGAATCAAAAGTAAATGAAGATGTCAAAGCACAGCAACCATACTTGGGGGCAAAGTCAAAAGATAAAGAAAAGCCATCCGCCTCAAGTTCTCCAGACTCATTAATTGAGCCTCTGAAAGACCTGACTCTTCCGATGACCCCACTCAATCCGATCTCTCCCTCACAGACAAGGAATGAAAAATAAGCAAGAATAGAGGCTATATGGTTGCAAAAGGATAAAAGCTTTGGCCCAAAAGCCTACAAACTTCTCACAAAAGCTGGATATAATCCAAATGATGAGCCACGGCTAAGAAAGTTACTACCACAAACAACCCAAGATTCGAGGGGTGGTCTTGGATATATGCCACAAGCTCTAGTACGCATCCCTATCAAAAGGGCTGCAAACCATCATATCACCGAAAGCGAGAGCTCGTCTTCCATTTCACCTCAAAACGGCAAGAATACAAGGGTATCGATCTTCAAGAGGCTAAGACCTTATGTCTTCACGAGGTTAGGACCAAAGATTAAAGAGAATAACAAGACAAATTCTACAAAAACAAATATGTGGAGATTGAGATTGATGGAGAAATCAAAAGCCGCGTTCCATCCCGCATGACGC